TGCTCATTTGGGCAGCCAATCTCCCTACCCACCCCCCCCGGCTGGGTGGGCTTTTTTCTCCGAGAGGCTGTCCTCTTCGCGTGGAACTTGAGGAGAGCCTCAGAGTTGTGCGCGGGGGGCAGCCAGGCGAGGCGTGGGGGGAGAGGTGTCCAGCTCTGGGTTTCGCTTGTTTGGCTGTTGGCGGGTCAAAGAAAGGTCTCTGTGCTCTGCCCCCCCCTGTTTGCCGCTCGCCGCTTCCCTCCCAAGTGGCGGAGGGGGCAGCGGCGTTCACAGAGCATTTCCTGCGCATGTGCAGGGGACGCTCTGTGAGTTTTGGGAGGATTTAAACATCCCCCCGATGTTTTTTCCAGAATTTGGATTTTTGTGCACACGTGGGGACCGCCCCACGTGCGCACAAACCTCTCCCTCCCCCCCAGGTTCCCCTGATGTGTGGATTTAAGTATCCGCACACCAGGGGGCGACTTCAGGATTAGATATATAGATAACATTATTCAATTGACTGTTTCAAAAAATGAAAGCTGCCCCCTCCCCAAACTGGCAAGGAAAGGGCCTTTGTGACAGGCAACCTTCACTGGAGTTCAGGAGCTCACTTGTGCTCTCAACCATTTTCACGCTGTGGGATGGACTCTGATACCAGCAGCAGGGAAACGCCTCCAACAGGGACATTGCCAGCACAGTAAACCTGGGACCAGTTGGGTCCTTTCTTTTTAGAAATTTAAACAGCCATGGATAGCGGCCAGGTCTTCCTGACCATCAGTTGTCAGTTGACCTTCCCTCGGGAAGGGAAGAAAAATGCCAACTTACAACAGTTTTTTTGGCCAGCTTCCTCTTTTTCCCTCCCCATTCCTGCACTTCCATGTAAGAAGGAGGAGGAGCAGACTGGATTTATACCCCACCCTTCACTTGGAGTCTCAGAGTGGCTTACAATCGCCTTTCCCTTCCTCTCCCCACAACAGACACCATGTGAGGTAGGTGGGGCTGAGAACTGCTCTTTCAAGAACATCTCTGACAGAACTATGGCTTGCCAAAGGTCATCCAGTAGCTGCAAGTGGAGGAGTGGGGAATCAAACCCTGTTCTCCCAAATTAGAGTCCGCACACTTAACCACTACACCAAACTAACCCTCATACAATTCCAGAATTCTGGGAAATACATTTTCATTACTCCAGGAATTTAGGGAGTATTTTGTGTCATTGCAGGTGTCCCTGAGCTGACCCAAAACTGCTAATTTTGGATATAATATTGGCTCAGGTATATCTGAATGCACATACCTACCCATTTCATCTTTTAGACATCTAATCAAATATGCCTTTTTTCAAATGCTGATATTAAATGTGAATAAAGCAGCTTGTTTACAAATGTTTAATGTTGGCTTTTATTACCTCATTCAAGTGCATTGTGATTGTAGGACCACTCATCAAATACATTTATTATATTTCACATCATTTAATTTCATTGTTTGTTTTGTCAGTAATTATTTTAGTATATTTCTACATCATGCATGGTTTGTTCTGTTCAAAATACAGGATTAGGTTTTCTCCCCCTAAAATGATTTTGTAGCCATATATCTTTTCAGTTACTTAAATGAAAATGTTCAAAACTGTAAGAGATACAGCAAGTCATTTTGTATATAATTTTTGTGGAATGGAAGAGAATTTAGGGCACAATTAAATAAAATAAGTGATTTTATCATATGTGTATATAGAAATCTTATATTCTAATAGTAAAGTGTGGCCTAGTCTGTGGATATCTAAATCTGTGTATTGGGGCCACACTGACTGAAAACAGATTCTTCTGCAAACTTGCAGACTCCCCAGGTTTGCAGAAAAATCTGAAAATGTTTTTTCCAGGTGGCAGCAATGATGTTGGGAGGGGGGGAGAAGGGAATGTTAGTGGGCCAAGCAGCTTAAGCCAGGAGCTGTGCAGGGCTTGCCTGAACCTTCAGAGATGAGGTGCAGAAGAAGCTGCAGCAGGCCCAGTAACAGGGAGATGAGCTGGGCCCAGCTTTGGTAGTTGTGACGGTGTGTGTGTGTGTCCAGGATCTGTGGCAGTGAAAGCAGCAGCAATGGGGGGGGAATTCGTTAGCTTCCTCTTCGCCAAACACTTTCGCCAAGTCTCTATGCAATACCGGGTCTGGTAGCAGTGTGTGGGGGGGTGCCAGGAGCCAGGCTGCCCTGGTGATCACAGCAGAGATGAGGGGAGAAACTGTGATGGGCTCAGCAACAGAGGCTGTGGAGATGGTGAGGGGCATGGCTAAAACCCATGGTGGCCCTGGCAGTGCGGGGGGGGGGAGCTAAGAAGGGGACAGGGATCATTGTATTGTAGGTCCCCACTTGTATATCTAAAATTCTCAACATGGCCATATCTGTGGATACTTAAAACCAGAGATTGGAACCATGAACAGACAAGACAGATCTTTCTACAGATCTGAAAAATGATCCAGGTCTTCAGAAAATTAGAAATCTTTAAAAAGAGGGTTAAAATCCTTTAAAATGATAAAAGGAGTGCATGTAGCTTTAAGAAATGAATGTTAGTGCCTGTTGCTAGGCAACCATGACAGTATTGCTAGCCTTCAAGACCTGATTTATGCCAGTGAAAGGTTGGTGGAAGGGACAGGCTTATTCTAAGGTTGTTTTAGCTGTTGAGGGGAGGATTCATTGAGGTTAGCCTGGAACCAACAACAAGGTGACTTGCTACCACATGATGTGGATGACTTACCCAGGCTCAGTGGCTTGCTACTGTTCAACAGTAGTCACCCTAGAAAAGTCAGTGTTGTGTAGTGGTTAGGAATTCAGACTAGGATCTGGCAAGCTCCAAGTTTGAAAACCTGCTCTGCAGTGTTAGCTCACGGGGTGACTTTAGGTCAATCACACATTCTGACCTATCTCACAGGGTTGTTGTGAGGATAAAATGGAGGAGAGGTGAATGATGTAAGCTGCTTTAGGTCCCCATTGTGGAGAAAGTTGGGTATGGATGAAGTTAATAAATAATAAATATACCTGAAGATGGGGGTGCAGTTAAAAGGTAGGTTGGTGGTGGGTGAGGAGGCAGGGAAAAGTGAGGGTATGGGGGTTGCCAAGAGGAAGGAAAGAGGAAATAGTGTGGGGAGGAGGATACAAGTGAGTGAGGTGCCCCTGCAAGTCCTTGAGGGTTCCCTATGATGCAACTGGGCCCTAGTTTTCCTAGGTAGATGCTCTGGGGGGGTGAATAAAGGAAAAAAGGAAGCAGCAATAAAAAGAGGAAATAGTAGGGGAAGGGGAAAATGAGATACCCTCCACAATTTCTTGTAGGTTCTTATTTGTGTGTGTGCATGTATGTATATATATGCAAAGAGTATGTATGTATATGTATATGTATGTGTGTATATGCAAAGAGTCGGACTCGACTGTGCGACTGAACAACAAAATGTATGTATATATGTTTGTTTGTGTTTGTGTACCTCATACCAGTAGTTTTGATGCATACTTAGTATACCACATGTATTTTCTTCAATAGCAGATATAGACCCCTGTACCAAACTTCCCATATGCTGAAGTATATGGAGCTCAATTAATGCTTTGGAACTCCCCATTGATTATGGAACTGCAGTAATTAGTATCTCTAATGCAGACAATAAAACCTTTTTAATTTCAGATTTTTTTAACTTTGTAATGATTATAGTTTACATGTGATTTTATATTTAATTATACTAATTTTGCTGCAGGTTGCTAAAGGATTACCCAGGGTTTATGTTTACTGCTCGTTCAAGAGAAGAACTTCCTCCCAATTTTCCAAGTGATATCCCTGGGATCTGTTACTTTCTTGATGCTTATCTTCAAGGAGCAAATTCAAAGGCCTGCTTTCAAAAGAAGGATGCCGAAGATGGAAAAACAAATTTCTTGGGGACACCAACAGGTGTAGATTAGATTGTGTATCCTTGCTTTTTCAGGAAAAAAAATTAGTTAATATTTTGTGTTCTTTATAAACTGAAAATTTTAAAAATGAAACATGACAGCACTTTAGCTTAACACATGAAAGCCAGTATTAAAATTTCAGAAAGCACATCACATAACTTTAATTTTTTTATTTTTTGTAAGAAATATATTCACTGAACTATGTTTCAATGTATGTTTTAAATCCTTTTAAAAACCTCTTAACTTTCCCTATACCTGTTTGCAAATGTTGTATAACCTCTATTTTAATTCTAAGTATTCAAAAGATCGAACATATGGTGCACCAACATATAATGCTTCAGATTTTAATGCAAGTTATGTTACACTGTTTGTGGGCAAGTAGCTTGGTTCTCAGATGAATAAAAATCAGCCAACAAATGGCTTCTCCCTTCTGTCAAAGCACTCCATTGCCAAGCAAGTTTGATAAGAGCTCCCTCCTTCCCAGAAGTGCAGAGAGTGTGAGGAGTGATCAGGTCTTTTGTACCTCTTCAGCTTTCCTTGCCTTCAGGGACAGCTTCCAGAGGAAGCTTTTAGCATTCCAGACAAGAAGAATCAAACAGTTGCCATAAGAACAGCATAACATGTAGCTTGGCTCTTTATGTAGTATTGTACACCCTGTCCTACAAGCCAGTTGAACGTCAATTACTATTTATGATTTTATAACAAAAAAGCAACCAGGAATTATTGGTGGCACATATTATCATGTTCTTATTTTAAAAATTGCCTGGCTGCATATTACACTTGCCACGTGGAAGCCCTGTCTATTGAGAATTTGGAAGATTGCCCACCATACCTAGAGAAAGCTGGAAGTAGGAGGAATCAGTCACACCATAAAGAAACTTTCTCCCCATTAGCTTCTTAGCTGCTAAGGAGAGGAACCAGGAGCAAGCTTGCTGGATTCTGTGTCCCACTGTTGAGATTTGGATGTGGAATAAGAGCACTGTGAAAAAAGTTCATGAAAATATGTATTCATATAGTTTCTTCAAATTCATTGAAGCAGGATATGCTTCTCATAAGACCCCGGAAGGCATCAGCTCTGAGATAGCAAGGAGTACCAATTCAGAAATAGCTAATCCCACCATACAAGGAAGCTTTGTTTGGAACCTCAACATTTTTTCTCATTACCTTCCCATGGCAGCCATTTTGAGGTGGTGTCTACAGTCCTTTCTCAAAATGCCAAAAGTGCTTGCAGGCTCAACAGGGATTGGGACCACCAGTTTAGAGTCAGTTAATCAAGTTCTGTCCAGGAACTTCTCCCCTCTCCGGGTTCAGGTCAGGGAATATAGTAAAAGCTGTCTGTCTCTGACATCTCCTTAAGGACACAAGCATTCTTTCCCAACTGCATAACTCCTTGCTATTATTCTTACTCTTTCCTATATGTAAAAACAATTGCTTTCCAATACCTTTGGATGCTTTGCTGCTTCCACTTTTCTATATGAAATGCAACTATGATGAGTGCTATTATGCATCAAAAGAATTAGTGAGGAAGAGAAGTTGTTATACTGTGTAATACATCATAGCGACATAAGCCGTCTTTGAAAGCACCAGGTCAAGAAACAGTGTCATATAGATTGTTCTACCCTGAAAAATGGGATAAGCTGTATCTCTGTACTGTTGCATCATTTAGAAGTAGTTCTCTCCAGTGTCACCTGTGTCCTGAAAAATACAGATGTTAATGAGATGTCAAGTGGCTAAACATTTCACTTAGTGTGACTGTCAGCTGTTTCCAGTGCTAGTATACAGAATACAGAAGAAGCACTTACTGCTTCCTGGACTAATTTTATTGTGTATACATTAAATAATATATATAAATGTGTAAATATGTTGTATAATGAAATGTAATCAAACAATATTTTAATTCTTGAAATCATGAATATTATTTCAAGATAGGGCAGAAATCTCCCCTACAATGTATTATAGCAATAAATGTTTTCTTTTTAGTTGCTATTTAAGTGTCTAGATTAAAGAGTGTAAACTCAATTTCTAAGCATATTGTATACAATTTGGTACAGAAACATACAAGGAAATAAGATGAAGTTCAAATGAAATTATATATGAGCTTTAGATGCTGTGAATGTGTTTTGATATTTGATTACTTCAATAAAGGAAATGTACTAGAATGATGCATTGGATATTTTGAATAACAGATGTGAACAGAAGTCTTGTAGTAAATAAAATAGGATCATCAAGTTAGTTTACCAGCACTTTGTTGACCCTGTGAGAGGAGCTCTGGTGTATCCCAGGGCTGTGGAGGCTTCAGAGACAAGACTATACTAAATACAGGCATCCCATACCAAAGTAGTGCATGCTGTGACACCGCAGAAACATTTGTTAATTAAGATATAAATATTTTATTCTCCCAATAAAATGAGCTGGATTCTGAGTTATGTAAGTAGATAGAGCTTGTGAAAGCAGATTTCCCCGGTCTTCCCTTTCTCACAGCAGCTGTCCCCCGCTGTGGCTTCAAAATCATGTGTTTGGGCCTTAAGAGAGCTTTGTAAACAAAATTCACAGCAAAAGGAGCTGCAGTGAAGAGGGGGACTTGGCAAACTGTTTTAGACCAGCTGAACCTTCTTAAGAGTCTTTAAAGGCAGTCCACCATGCAGCAAAGTGCAGAAGTTGACCCTGAATATAACCAGTGCATTGAAAATGGTGCCCAATCATACTTAAAAGGGATACAGATGGCACAATGGGCAAAGGCTTTATGTGCTACAGCACTACAGTGGTGATATGTTCCTCTGTCTAGCAGTACTCCCAAGGTGCAAGTTCACTCCTTCAAGGGAAGTTCGAATTCATCCAGACAGGTTGAGTCCTCAACTGACTTTATTAACAACCAGTAACACTTCTGATTCCAATTGAGTACATCCAGTGACTCACTTGAGAATGAGTCTTGGATTTTATCCATGTCTTGGTCACACCTCATTCCAAACTCTTGAGTGACTTTTCCCAATGTGTTCATGTAGATATTGACTAGTGTGTGTGTGCACATGCACATGGAAAAATCTTCAATGTGGGATCCTAAGATTTAATCCCGAATGCCAAGCAGTTATTCCCTAGAACCTGATGAACCAGATAGGAATGGAATTACTGGAGTGTCGTGCTTCCAAGACTCAGACACTTGGGACAGGATACCATGGTATTGAAAGCTGGCAAGTGGTCCAAGGGAATCAATATCATTCCACTTCCCTGTTTGTCTCCTAGCAAAGATTGTACATTGAAGTCACTGTCAATTTCAGCCCTAAAACTGGTTCAGAAGCCAGACTGAAATGACTCTAGATAACTGCCTCATCCAAGAAAGTTTGGAGATGAATGGCTACCATGTAATTACACCTTGCCCAAGAAGGGTGTATTTGTACTTGGTGGGAGATATTAAAAAGGTTTTAGTCCAGGATGGCCTTTCATAAATGTTTCCTTCAAAACAGATGGAACTGAGCTAATGGTGTATTTACCACATCCAACTTGGTACAGTAAACCATAATGGGCACTCCAGACCATGGCAGATCCATCCTACATTCAGGTATGTCCTGAAGCCAGTCTGCTATGGTTAATGCCAGACTTGTAGAAGAAGGCAGTTGACCTGGTATATAAATATGCTAACCTGGGAATAGTAGCTATGATAGCTCTGCATAGCTTTTATTGTCTAAAAATGCTATTGTATATGGAATCCAGCAGCTTATTTCTGTGCCAGTTCAGACTGTCTCTGTATACACAATATGGCCTTCAGCATGAATTAAACCTTCTCAAAAATGGCAAAACCTTGCTGGGTTCTGGTAAGCCTGGTTTGGTCTGGTATGGGCATACCATGAGCAAACTTGCAAATCCACTATTGAATACTATGTACAAAGACAATTTGATAGCATTTATGGGCATTAATGACTTCCACAGCTCTATATTTCTCAATTTACTGTATTCTAAAATCTGTGCAAAAGAGATAATGAGAAATTAAATCAATGTAAATTACTTTTCATAGTTTGATGTTATTACAAAGTTTGAAAGGAAGATAAACAGCTCTAATTATGAATTATGTTATAATAGCTCTGTACCCCAGACAATAACCCCATATGAGGAGGCAGCCCTCCACGAATGAAGTGTCTCCACCTACTGTATTATTGGCATTCCTACCTGGACCCCACATGTGCAGTTCATTTCCACAGGTATAGTAAGTGGTAGCTAGATTTTTCCCCAAAGAAATATTTGGAATTGTAGTCACAGTGATGTAAAATAGAAACCAATACTCTACAAGAGAGATACAAATTTTCAGCATGCAGGGTTTAAAAACAAAACAAAACCCAAAGCTTGAACTGAATTTTCATGCAAGAATTGCTAAAAGGTAAAGTTCAATGACTGCAATCCTAAGGACACTTTCTTGTGAATAAACCCCATGTGGAACTTATATCAGAGAATGCCTATTCAGGCTTTCTGCCTCTGTTTCTTATCCCAATGTGAATAATTTTATAGAACCTGCAGCAGCTATTTTTCTGCTAGGGTAGATAGGATACTTTCTGAAGTTCACCTTGAAGTTAGAAACATTTAAGAACTGAAAAATAAACTTGAATTCAACTCTATGTTGAATTGATAAATATTGATAAATATTGAGCCTTTTAAAATATAGTTACAAACCCAAGCTTTCTTCTGTGAATTGTAGCAAAATCGAAGAAGAAATTGGATTTATATCCCACCCTTCACTACCCAAAGGAGTCTCAGCGTGGCTTACAATCTCCTTCCTTTCCCCTCCCCACAACAGACGCCTTGTGAGGTAGGTGGGGCTGAGAGAGCTCTTTTGAGAACTGCTCTTGAGAGAACAGCTCTGAAATAACTTGTGACTGACTGAAGGTCACACCAGCAGCTGCATGTGGAGGAGTGCTCTTAACCGCACCACCAAACTGACCAAGTCAATAACCCTTTCCAAATAATCACTTTTTGGCTTTTGTCTGGTAGTAGTGTATCTTTCAAGGTCTTAGTTATATGTATATAAGGGATATATGATCGCTTTCAGGAGTAACAGGCCATTATCATACACCTTGCAGTA